CAAAACCCTCTACCAGAAAAAAGGTTATGACTCACCAAAGGCTCAGTGATGGTTAGCATTTGTTAGCAATAAGGTATTTTTAAATTAAGATGTGTATGCTTTGTTTTTAGACATAATGTTATGGTACACCTAATAGACTACAGGATAAACATAACTATTATATGCACTGGGAAACCAAAAAATTTCTGTGGCTCATTTTATCGCAGTATTCGCTTTATTGCAGTGGTCTTGAATTTAACCCAAACCCACAATATCTCCAAGGTGTGCCCATCGAGTGTAGTGTGTTTAGACGCTGCCATAAGGGTGGTAGAGAGCAACTGAAATATTGAAGCCTGGCACTGAAGTGATTAGAATTACACTTCAGAAAGCTAACTCTGGCCGTGATATAGAGAGTACATTGAAAAGGGACAAAACTAGAGTCAGTAACAGGAGGTGGTTGTAGCAAGTTGGGTGAAGTGATGGCTTGAATTAAGGCAGTGGAAGTAAGGCTAGAATATGGTTAAAAAGAGTCACCATTTTCTAAGTGCCCGTCTCACATTTGAGAATTACCGAAAAAGCTCCTTAGTTTCTTGCCAGGGTTGATGATTTCTGTTCTTTCAGATTTTCTTCAGGCTTATTTAACAATTCATCCTAGTGCTTTCTGAGGAACCTTTTATGTCTCACCAACTTTCCATCCGTCTCTTACTGAGGAATCCAGAGCTAGTTGCAGTGCTCTGGGAGCATGAGATCCAGTATTTGCTGAAAAGATGTGACAGGAACTATATAGGAAAAAAAGGCAACTAGTGGGAATGTTGAATTTCACTGCCAAATAAAACCCCATGTAGACTCATGTCTCCTTATACTTGGAAAAATGTCACTTTTAATTTGGTGGATTAATAAAGGAGGAAAGACTGCTGGACATAGGCCATTGATCTGGAATTTATGGTATTATGTTCATGACTAAGGATATGTAATAGTTGTATTAGTTGCTTCATAAACTATAAATACTTTACAATTTTTATTTTATATAAGTATATATGTAGAAATCAATATATTTTTAATCTTCTGGTAAGTTTTGTTTTTACTAGCCACAAGAGTCACTGGAATAAGTTCATCTCTGGTTTGTGAAACAGGAATGTTTCAGGGTTCTCATTCCATAAGTACTTTGTTTTTTTTTTTAAAGAAATTTTATTGGGGAACAGTGTGTTCCCCCAGGGTCTACCAACTCTGTGCCAAATAGTTGTTTCAATCCAGTTGTGGAGGGCGTTTTTCCAGGACACATCAGCTCCAAGTAAAGTTGTTGTCTTCAATCTAGTTGTGGAGGGCGCAGCTCCCTGGCCCATGTGGGGATGGAACAGGCAACCCTGGTGCTATGAGCCTGTGCTCTAACCACCTGAGCTAACCGGCCGCCTCCATAAGCACTTTGTTTCTCATTGTCTTCTTAATGTGCCATGCATGCATGAAAAGGATGTTGTGAATCGATTGGGCATTTATTTCTAGGATTGACAGTATAGGTCCTAGGGCATCCAGTTGATCATGTGTTCCATATTGTTCTGTGTTGTCCCTTTTAAATTTCTTTACATATGACATGTTTGCATCCTTAAAGGCAAGGATTTATTCTGTTGTTTTGGAATTCTTTTTATGTCTCTCATAATACTTTCTACAGAGTGAATTCTGCATAACCTGTATTACCTTGGAAAACTCTTTAACTAGAAAACATTCATGGCTTTTAATTGTTTCATTTGTTCTCGATAAGGAATATATAATACTAAATGTTAGTAGCTTAGAGTTATAAACCTAGTAAATAATCAAATTATGTATAATGATATGTAACAAAATCATAAATGATTAAAATTATTAATTTAATGAAAATATTTAGCACATGTATGGCAAATTTAAATGGCTTTTCTAGAAATTTAGGATATGCTACTTTTTATTATAAATGATCTATACCTGTAAGTCAGATAAAGATATGGTATAGAATTTTGAACATTAGGAAAAATTAATAACTTGTAAGTTCTACAGATTTTGGAGTATTAGGATATGACAAGGTTATACATACACTGGCAGCGAAGTTTTGGTTTTTCTTGGTAGCCAAATGTTACAACTCAGGTCTATAAACAATTTCTTTTTCTTTTTCTTTTTAGTGCTGTACATTTCCTTCTGTTTTTAACAGTACTATTACTGACACCAAAGTAATGCATGTGCATTATAAAAATAGAAAAGTACAGAGAATAAAGTAAAAATCAGTCATAGTCCCAGGACCCAGAGATAGCCATTGTTAACATTTTGACCTTTTTCTTTTGATAGCCATTGTTAACATTTTGACCTTTTTCTTTTTTAAAGCTAACTTTATTGCTTACTTTTTTTTTTTTTTTTAAGATTTTTATTGGGGAATTGGGGAAGGGGAGCAGACAAGTTGCTGTCATTTTGTTCTTCAGTCTAGTTGTGGAGGACGTCGCTTCACTGGCCCAAGTTGGCTCCATCATTGCGCTCTTCCTGGGCGAGGCAGATCAGTCGCCGGCTTCTGGACGGCCGCTCACTGCGGCTGCTGGCTGCTCACGCTGGCTGCTGGCTACACACGGTAGCTCATGGCAACCCACTGCCACAGGGGCTGCAGCCTATGCCGTCCTGGCAGCCCAGCTCCAGGTCAAGCTGTTGTTCAGCATCTTAGCTGTAGAGGGCAGTGTCACTGGTCCGCATATGTGGGACCCAAACCGGGGCCCTCAGGCATCCCAAGCCAGTTCTTAACCATCGTGCCACTCGGCCGGCCCCTTTTTTTACTCTTTTATCCATAGATCTATATACATTTCTTTTGTAATCCTGAGACCGTACAGCAGCATTATTTTGTAATCTCTTTTTTCATTTCATAAAATGTCATCAACATTGTTCACTTCATTAAACATTTTGTACAGTATGATTTTTCCAGTTTTTTGAGATATATTTGACTTACAGCATTCTGTATTTTAAGTGTACAAAATAGTGCTTTGATATATGTTTATATTACAAAATGATCACCACAATAAGTTTTATAGTTTCTTGTCCTATGTTCAAATCTGTAATCCACTTTGAGTTGGTTTTTTTGTGTGTATGTGGTGTAAGAGAGGGGTCCAGTTTCCTTCTTTTGCATGTGGCTGTCCAATTTTCCCAGTATCATTTATTGAAGCCACTATTCTTTCCCCATTGTGTGTTCTTAGTTTTTTAATTAATTATGTGTGGGTTTATTTCTGGGCTCTCTATTCTGTTCCGGTGGTCTATGTGTCTGTTTTTATGCTAATACCATATTATTTTGATTACTACAGCTTTGTAACATAGTTTGAAATCAGGAAGTGTGATGTCTCCAGTTTTGTTCTTTTCTAATAATTGCGTTGGCTATTTGGGATCTTGTGGTTCTATACAAATTTTAGGAGTGTTTGTTTTATTTCTGTGAAAAATGCTGTTGGAATTGTGATGGGGATTGTATTGAATCAGTAGATCGCTTTGGGTAGTATGGATATTTTAACAATGTTAATTCTTCCAATCTATAAGTGTGTAATATCTTTCCATTTATTTGTGTCTTCTTCAATGTCTTACATTAATGTCCTATAGTTTTCAATGCACAGATCTTTCACTTCTTTGGTTATATTTATTCCTAGGTATTTTATTCTTTTTGATTCAGTTGTAAATGAGATTGTTTTCTTAATTTCTCTTTTTGACAGTTTATTATTAGTATATAGAAATGCAACTGATTTTTGTATATTGATTTAGTATCCTGCAACTTTATTGAATTATTAGTTTATCCTAACTTTTTTTTTTTTTGGTGGAGGCTTTAGGGTTTTCTATATGTAATATGTCATCTGCAAAAAGAGACAGTTTTACTTTTTCCTTTCCGATTTTGATGCCTTTTATTTCTTTTTCTTGCCTAATTGCTCTGGCTAGGATTTCCAGTACTATGTTGAATAAAAGTGGCAAGAGTGGGCATCCTTGTCTTGTTCCTGATCTTACAGGAAAAGCTTTCTGCTTTTCATCGTTGAGTATGATGTTAGCTGTGGGCTTGTCATATGTGGCCTTTATTATGTTGAGGTACATTCCCTCTATACCCAGTTTGTTGAGAGTTTTTATCCTTTTTTTTATTTTTTATTTTTTAAATGGAGAGGATAATTGGAAATGTACTATGTTGTTGGGCAATAAGGATATTTATTTATGATGTCCTTAATGCCTTGCAACAGGTAAATAAAATTTAGTAAATTATTGGGTTGTTGGAAAAGTCAAGATGCATTTTTGCAACGAAAAACATTGAAAAAATACGTCATGACTTTCCTGACAACCCAATATTTAAAAAACAATAGTACCTTCAACTAATGTTTTTAAAAACACAATTGAATTTAATTTATGACTAGAGCACAATATTTTAATGCTTGCATGATTTTAAGTAGAAGCTATTCTATGAGAATTATAGTACTTAGAAGAATATATTAAGAGGAACCAGTACTGTATTACACAGGCAGCTTATGGGAGAATTAATTTTTAGAATATTTTCTTGCACTATTTATGAAATTCATTTTTTTAAAAAGCATATTATCTGATAATCCTTTAATTCACCATTTACCTAAGAAATTTTTGCTCTTTATTTACCTTCTTTTCAAATTTATTTAAACAACTTTTAAAAAACTTTTTATTACAGACAAGTTGCAAAAATTGTGTAAAGAACTCCTGAATCTCTTAATGCAGTTACCAATTACTAACATTTTTCTACATTTGCTTTCTCACTCCCTCTTCTCTCTCTCTCTCACACACACACACACGTAATATGTTTTTTCTGAATCATTTGAGATTTGTTGCAAATATCAAACTTCTTTGCCTCTGAAGTACTTGAGTGTTTAACAATGTTTTTGTCGCTCAGATTACCCTCAGATATGAAGCTTTTAGGATTTTCTGATAGCTTTATTTTTCACTTTGAACAGCTTTATTGAGGTACAATTGATATACCATACCATTTATTTTAGATTGCATTTTTATTCCTTCCTTCCTCTCACTGGCAGTTGCTGGTACAGTGCTCCCCACCTGGCTGAGCGAATGGTTTCTTTTGGAGCTGATAAAGCTGCCTTATGAAATCAGCTGACAGGTATATTATACCTACAGATGATGCTTTTTCTCCCAAAGAGTTTGGGTTGAGATTGACCCACTCAGCAATTGCTAACAGATACTCTAAGCGAAAGACTAAATTTTTGTCCAATTTTGAGAATGTAGCTGTAAAAAATTATTTGAACTCTTAAATACTCAAGTCGTTTTACAATAAATAGTATTAGCAAGATCCTAGATCTAAAAGTTACAGTTTTTCTGAATTTTTGATCTTAAAGGAAGAAGGTTATCTTTAGAATTAAAAAGTAAAAAATTGAGGCCTTTTAGTTTTCATACTTCATTCTGGATTAGCATGAGAGATGTTTGAAATGGCTGATTTCCATTTTTGCTTGGACTTGGGATCGTTTGCTCTTTTTTTTTTTTTTTAATATATTGCTTGGGGATTGGTGTATTTTTACTGATTTAATAGTTGTGCCTAAACTATTAGAAAACCAAGTTTTGTAGTATGTCACTCCTACTTACATATTTCTCTTTTTTCCCCCCAGGGATGAACTGTAAAAGCAACATCAGCTTGACCAGAATATAATAATTCAGTGGATTGCTCATCTCAGTCCTCAAACCTTTTTGAAAACCAACAGCATCACAGCTTGTTTTGGACTTTGTTACACTATTATTTTTAGCATGAAAAATGTGTGGTTTTATAGGGCTTCTAATTCTTCAAAGAGGCACCGAAGCCAAATTGGTAGAGGAAGGATGCAAAGTATACATCTGTGTATTATGACTTTAACATGCCCACATTTTACTTTAAAATATTAAACAAAGGGGTTCTGCAAAATGGAAAACTTAAGTTTGTGAATTGATTTGGATGAGTGGTTTTGTTTTTTCTTAGACACTTAATTCTGTTCCAATATTAATTTATCAGTTTGCTTTTGTGCATCAGATAATACCACCATTCACAAGTTAAGGTTCTTTGATTTTTGGATGTCTGTTAGATGCTACTAAGAAAATAGAGATGAGCTTCCTTTTTAAAGCTTTTGATGTGGTGTCATAGAGTAGCATGTTGTAGATACAATCGGCTGCTTTTTACCTTAAAACTAAGCATTTGTAAATATTAAAACTTAAGAAGATGGCAGGTGATGTCCCTTAACACTCAGCTGTTCAGATTGGACATAACTGACATAGTTCTTCCTTTCTCTCTCTACAAATGATAGGAGACTGGTAGCTCAGTATTGTTTCTTCTGTTTCTAATTTGCTGCTGATAATGTATATGAATTTCACATGCTGTGTAAGCTGTGTCCTAGTTACTGAACAGTTTATGCAGTGCTGCTTTGCCAAATAAAGTTAAAAGCAAAAGAGGCATTGGTGGTGTTTGAATGTAGACGGAAGAATGGCATGTCTACCAGATACAGAATGCTGACCAAGATCACGGAGAAAAAAGTGGCTTCTCTGGTTCCCATTTTGTGAAACCTGAGTAGGTGAGTAACATTAATTGAACTGTAGATTTGTAGAATGTGACCCTGTTTCTTGAGAACAAGAATACCTCATTTATCATTTTTCTTTGCCTAACACAGGGCTTGTCCTCTTGTAGATGTACCATGAATGCTGAATGAGTGAATGAATGAGTTGACTGGATGCAGAGAAGAGCCGAGTTGAAGATAAATTTACCAAAACCCATCTCTCACTTACAAATGGATTTATTTATATAATGACTGTAAATGAGTTTTTAAGAAGGCAGTAGCACTTTGAGATCTCATTTAAAGGTTGTGGTTTTATAGCTTTTGCAGTGGGATCTTAGTTTTTCTCAGGATTCTAGAACTTGAAGCAATATAAGCTCTAGAGCTAGCAGAATCAGCACTCCCAGCAAAGCCCTTCCCTCTAGAGTGCAAGTTGTATGATTCTAACAACTAGATCCCTAGTGAGGTGCGAGGCACCACTCCCCCACCTCCGGAAGTCTTAAATATGACTTCTTTAAAAATGGCTTAAAATTACACGTACATCTTTTCACTAGTGTCTCTTGGGCAAGGTATTAGGCACAGTTGAAACTAGCATTAGTTGGTGGCCAAAACTTGTGAGTTTCAGTAGCTGTTGGTATTGCTTCTGGACTGAGGCTATGAACCCTTTTGGTCCAGGATTCAGTGTCATTTGAGTTAGTTTCAAAGGTTAAGTGGGTGTCCCCTCCAAAAAACAAAACAAAACAAAACAATACAGAAAACCAAAAAAACAAAGGTTAAGTATTCTTTAGGACTTAAATTAATTCTTAAACTTATCCACTAGTCTGTATCCATCATAGCCGTTACCAAGATTTTATTATATGTAAATCCCTGTGTTAGGTCTTGGGATAGAAAAAGGCCCTTACTCTTAAGGAGTTTGCAATCTGGTTGAGGGGACAGTTTATAAAGTGTCACCTAATTGGTATACACAAATGCTGTGCCAAGCATTGCTCTTGGACTTTACACTTTTGTGAGTTAAACATTTTAAATATTGAATAAACAGGAATGGATTTTAATGGAGCACCAATAAATGGGTAGAGATGGAAATAATGAATTTTAACTAGGTCTATGAGCTTTTTAAGAGAGTTGAAGTTAGCCAGCCAGCTGAGTGGCTCAGTTGGTTAAGAGCTCGCGAGCTCTGAGCAGCAGCAGTTTGAGTCCCGGCCTGAGCTGAGCTACCGCTGAGCTGCCAACAGGTGGCAGGATGGCTCAGCTAAAAAAAAAAAAAGTTGAATTTATATATGTGTATGTGTTGGTCAGAGATAAGAAATTTCTTTAGTCTTTTCATAATTTCTAAAGTATTTTAGCATTTCACTTTTCATTAGTAGAAATGATTCCTTTATATAATATGACAGGCAACAATGCAAATATTTTTTAAAGTTTCAGTCTAGTGAGATCCTGTTGCAACAAGGTATTTCTTTACAGATTTGATTTTATTAAAGGCCCAACCTAGCTCTCAAGAATTAAAATTAAAATTCCAGTTTCTAATAAGGGTTTCAGCTCTTTTCTAACTACTAACATTAGAGAAAAGTGATATTTTGGGGAAAATAGTACACTAACATCGTCCATGCAACTATTTAAAATCCCATTGCCTTAATTAAAAAAAACTTGTTCAAAAAAAATTGATGATGCTTTAATTGACAATAATGTACCTATACTAAAGCATCTTAAAAATACATTGTATTTTAAAATAGAATAACATTTTTTTAGTAATAACTTAATACTCATGAATTCTTTGAAGCTATTCTTGGCATCTGATTGTCAGCCAAGAAATAAAGCTCCTTAATTTTGTTTCATTAGAGAGGTAGGTGTTTCTAGTTTTTAGCTAAATGTTAATAAATTTCCAATAGTTTGGTATGGTACTAAAAGAACTCTGTGGTAATTGAATACTAGTATTGTACATGAAATAAACATGAGTAATTTAAAAAATGTTCTAAATGGGGCTCAAAATGCCAATAACTTATAATTCTTGCAGGGTATAAATCATTTCCAATAGTTTACTGTGTTATTAAAGAACATATTCAGTGAAACACACGAGTTCTGATTGGATTTCAGTTATACCTCCCTAGAGTTCTCCTATCATTTTTCAGGAAGTGAGTGTTTTGTCCCCGTTGTACTTAGAGTGGCTCAAATACAGTCCTAGTAAAAAAAATCCTGCTTGAAGAAAAATGGCTGGCCCACGGGGCCCAAAAAAGTTTGTGTATTGTTATATAATAAAAAAAAACCAAGTCCAATAGTTTCCTTATCCTTAACCCTTCTAACTAACAGTACTTGTTGGTTCCCCACTATAGGCTTCATCTTTTTAACTGACTGTGGTTTGGGCCAGGACCCTGTGAAGTGCTGCTTTGCTTGGTAGGAGAGGAAACATCTGACTTTCAGTTCCAGTGAATCCCTTTCTCCTTTCTCCTCCCCTTCTCTTCATCTCTCCTTTCACTTCCTTTTCGCTTTCCTTTCCCAGCATGAGAGGACGTTTTAAGTTCTAGGGCTGCTGGATCTGAAGAACTCCTTCTCACTCAGGTGGGGAGACCCAATGAAATGGGCTTCACAGAAAGAGTAATTTTTTTGCCCAAAGGGCGAGTGATGGTAATACTGAGGACATTTTAGGTGTAAGGAGGCAGCAGTCCGGGGCATGGGACAGCTGAGGACATATACATTTGAGTTCCCAAACCCTGAACACTTGACTGTGCCTCCCAAGGGATCACATCACTTGAAGTATTCTTTTGCCTTCACTGTTTACTTAGGTTTTTTGGCAATTGTGCTGCCAGGATTTTTCCAGAAATTACATTATGGATCAAAGAGCTTGCAGAATTTCTGTTAACACTATTGTATTGGTTTTAGATTAATTGTAAAAAGGGTGTTTTCTGGGTACTTCTTTAGGATCTTGGCTCCACTGAGCTATTAGGTTGTAGGTAACAGTTGGATAAAGCAGGCCAGGAAGTTACAGGTAGGGGTGGTAAAGGACTTGCAAAAAAATTAAAGGCATGGTCTCCGATTGCATAGTTTATGGTTCTGATTTCTTTATTCTTCTATACACACATATCTAGATAATACATTTAGAGATTTATCTAAACCTGTTTTCATCTGAAACTGCTTTGTTTAAATATAAGAACACTGCCTTTAGATTTATTTGGACTTTGGGTCTTTAGTCATGAAATAACGTATGAAAATGAGAGAGAACATTTTTTTTTTAAGTCTATATACTCAACACAATTTTCCCTACGCTTTTGGGTAAAAGTTAAAATAGCTTTTATATTCAAATTTGTTTTGAGAAGTTTCCTAAATTTTGAAATAACTTTATAAAACGATCTTTAAGTTAAATGGTATTGTAAGTTGATCTCTCTCCAATTTAGTGTGGTGGCATACAAGATTAAAAAAGTGATGTGACCTGAGAATTAAAATAATTAGGAAGGAAGACATATTCAGATGTAAGTAAAGCAAATGTAGGAGAAGGCTCAGTTCTAACCATTCAATTCATTCCTGAACACATTCAGCCTTGGGGTATCTAACCTTATTTTTATCCTTGATGGTTTCATATTTATCCAAAAAAAATCTGTGTTTGCCGTTAAAGTAGCTATAAGTGGAAATAATGTACTTTAGAATACTAGAATCGAGTAGGGCAAAAGAGCTGGGAAAATAGGACCAGTACCCAAGAAAAAGTCAGCAACACAGTTGCTAAAACTAGGGTGATGAGAATATTTGTAAACTGCAAATTGCAAACAAAACTTTTCCCTCTTTGTATTCGGCTTGGGCAGTTTTTGTTGTTGTTAGAAGTTCTCAATTTTAATGCCAACAGTTGTAGAAAACCTGGAGTCCAGAAAAGAAAACAACCGAGTAACTCTGCTAGGGACAAAGGGTAATCCCCAAGGAAGCAAAAACCAAAACACGAAATTGTTCTGGGACAATATGGTTTAACAGTGACCCCAAATTACATATGAATCTCAGGCTCATATGCTTATGTGACAGCATCATCAATATAATGGCGGAACCTGTGAAGGTAAGTATGGAGCCTGTATCCTGGGGCACACCACACTGCATATAAGTGAAATTCAGTGAATTCATCAATAAGGTCTGCGTTGAACAGCAAAACAGGCACAAGTAGAAATATGCATCTGTGTTCGGGCCGTGGGAAAATACAGTGAAGTGCAATGTGAACAGCCACTGCTGCCCGAAAGGAGGGGTTGGTAAGTGCGACGGAATGGCGGAGCCAAGTCACAGAGTTTGGAAAGTCAGTGGGAGAAAGATGAAAAAACGCTGTTATTTCCTGTGGAGGAGAATACATGTGATACTCAGGTGACTTGAAATATTAAAATGCTTGCAGAAGGATGGAGGAGTAGCTGTCAGAAAGATGGCTTAGGTGGGCCTTTTTTCAGGAAATGAGATGTGAAACAGAATGTGGGTGAGGGGTAAATTGTGGGCAACTTTCCCTTTAATATTATTTTTATATTGTCTTAGATGCATAACTCCTTCAATCAGGTAATCGACAGGTAAGGTGACTTTAAAAAGTCCCTTTAAGTCCATTTAACATATTTTGTAGACCTTGATTCTCCTCTAATCCTTAATTTCCCTCTTTGTACAATAGGATAGGGATAATTAAATTCAGGTCAGATAGTAACAGCTCAATAAATATTAGCCCCTTATGATTATATTAAAAAGTTGTAAAAAAGGCTTAAGAATAAAATACAATTTATTAAAGAACATTGTATACATAGATATAGGCCATCTTTTCTCAAGTATTTCAACACCGTAGCAATCCTAAATTGTTTAATTTCTTCATGTATAAAAGATGTGCTGAAAGACATGCCTTAACAGTATTTATTTTATTGGGTATGGCTATAGGTGACATCCTTCCATAGAAAAACAAACTGCACAGCATCACATATAGAGTACAAACATCTTTAGTTCATTCACAGTCAGTTCTCTAAACTGCCCTTGAGAAATTTAAAATTTTGCTCAATTCTCAACATTCAACAAAACGCTTAAACTTTTCAGGAAATAAAAATAATTTCATTTTTCTGGAACTAATTTTCCATTTGTGAATGTATTCTGTTACATCTCCAACTGAATTTAAGCTCTTTGCTAAAGGAACAACCTGTTTCAGGCTCAGTGTGAACATGTGTGCTAGAGTGTTTTCAAGACCTTTAAAAGATTTTCCACATACGGTGAAGAACCACAGTGTGGAAATAGGAACATCGTGTGAATGTAGATACCACAGGAACCGCGATACATTCCTCTCAGTAGAATAATTCCTAGAAAATGTGTAATCCTGGCAATACTGGTGATGGGAATAATTTGCCTTTAAAATCCTATTAATTAGAAGAGATGCTAAGCTAGATGCCTGTTTTCTGTAAAGATAAATTTGGGCAAAACTGCTTTGTACTCTGGGAATACACAGCCTGGCATTAGCTGATGGCACATAACATTTTATAGCATTAAATAAATAATGGGAAAACCCATTCCACTAGACGAAAGAATTTGATGATACTTAAACATGTGACATTTTTACAAAAGCGGCACCCAGAAATACACTCCATGTTCTGCTTTTTAATTTAAATGTACTTTTCCATCAACACAGACTAATGTTGAAACCCGGTGACTGAACATGCGCTGCTGCATTATGGACCATCAGGCAGTGTTGAGTAGAGACAAGAACTAATCATCCTCTTTGCTCACTTTGGCCTCAGCTAAGTTCTGTTACAATTTTGACCTGCCAGGGTCTCTGCTTCCACCCTGACTTCTCATATCACTTCATGACCATGTTGGAGCTATTTGTAATCCCATCTTGAGCTTTTTCTCCCAAAGTTCAGCCTAAGGATGCAGCCACTACATGACATGATGTCAGAGGTGTTGGAAGAACACACATTCACCTTCCCTGAGACACACTGACCTGTTCATAAGGTTTACAATTTAGATATTCCTACCATAGGTAACATCAAAGGTATAAACTCACTTGAGATCAATTCTTGAGGGAGAAGAAAAAGGGGAGCTTTGGAAGCTTAAGGTGAGGAATAGGAGAGCCGCAGGCCCAGGCGGTGCCGGAGGTACAGGTTGCCAGAGGCAACGAGGGACTTCCAAAAAGTAAAAGGTTACTAACACGGCCACTCTAAGGCCACCTCTTGAGATGCTAAATTTTCTGCCGTGGCTAACTACATATTTCTATCTTCAGGGACAGCTTAGGTAAAATCACAGTTAGATTTGTAAAATCTTTAACCATATGGACTCTAAATTTCAAAATATTTCACATAGTTCCCAAGGAAAATCTACAATAAATAAGAACAAAGGTTTGGGGATTGTAGAATCTTCTGCGTTTTCAGTAGTTTTCTTAGCCAGTGAAAAACAAAAGTTATAAATATCCTGAAAGCAATATATGTATAATTATAAGTGAAACGTGTCCTTGCCCCAGCTACTTAAGTTACACTTATTAGAGATACATCCCATTGATGAGGTAGTCAGATTCCTCGGATGTAATGGGACGAGCTTTTTTAAGTTTCTGTTTCACCAGGCGTAGTCGGCAAGCAACCATGAGAAGCAGCAACGCGGTGATGGCCAAACCCAGCGCCAGGGGCAGCACTGCACCTGTGAACAGGGAAGGCGTGAAGGGGGCGGGTCAGTGATGAACAGCAGCAGCTACCATTCACTACACGATAAGACTTTGCACGTGCTATTTCATCTCATTTGTACAGCTCGCTTAAGGAGATACCTGTATTAGCACTATTTTTCAGATTAACTGAGGTGCACAGGGATTAAGTATCGTTTAAGAGTCTGTAGCCTGCCAATGGCAGGTCTAGGTCTCAAACCCAAACTTCCCTGAAATCAAATTCTCTAGCAGGTTCCTACAATTAATTATGACTTTTTTTTTTTTAGCTAAGCCATCCTGCCACCTGTTGGCAGCTCAGCGGCTGCTCAGCTCGGGCTGGAACTCAAACCGCTGTTGCTCAGAGCTCAAACTCTTGAGCAAGCTCTTAACCAACTGAGCCACTCGGCCAGCCCCCTACAATTGATTATGGATAGGATTGGGGGGTACACATGTTGCAGCCAGATCACCCTTATGTCCACTGCCATGGAGACTAACCAGACCACTGTAAGGACGCTGTGGCCACAGGAAATGTTTTCATTGTTATCGATTACGTTTGTGGACTCACAATCATTGTCTCTTAAAACAAGCATGGACTAACTAACTCCTGACTTCTTTTTTCTGGTTAGGGCTTTGAGAAATTTATTTCCTTTTCTCAATCCAGGGAACGTACTCTCAGCCAGTAGAACCATTGTTAAAAAGTAACTTCAAAATATGCTGGTGTAATTTTGGCTAAGGGTAGTTGAGGAATAAAATCTCTTGTTCTCCTTTACAGGGTTTTTCCTGTGGGGTTGGTCCTAGACACTCAGACTAGAAGCTGCCTTTAGAGGCTTTCCGGAGTCTGGAAGGGACAAGATGTGCCCAGTCTTTCTTTTTATTTGATAAATTTAATATGTTACATTTTGCAAATTTAAGGTGTACAGCATGTTACTTTGATACATTTATATATTGTAATATGATTGCCATTGAAGCAATGTTTACCACATTACATCATTATAGTACAGTGTTATTGTCTGTTATACTGTGCATTAGATCTTAGCTATGGCTTATTTACTAAGTGAGATAAAGCAGACAGAGAAAGACAATTATTGTATTGTGGAATCTAAAGAAGTCAAACCTGAAAACATAGATCGGTCTTTCTTATCGAGCTCAGCAGGTTCTATTTTTAGCCTGACCTACTCTACAGTCAGGCCAGTCTTGCAGATGATACAGTGGAACTATTTTTAGCTGCAAGGGTCTTACCAACTGGTGGAACTAGAGAAGCCAAAATCTCCATTGCATAAGCTGATTCTATAACATTTTCTTTCATTCATTTATTCATTCCTTCTGCATTAACAGCCAGGTGCCTGACACTGAGCTCAGTGCTGGTAATCCAAGATAGGAAGCTAATGCCAGCGAGTGCCCGCACCGCTCGCAATGCTTTCTCACTTTGGCCATTTAATGCTCACAACCACCATGAGCTGGTAGGATTACTATCCCCAAATTACCAGCGAGGGAACTAAGGCATCAAAAATTAAGTGACTGGGGAGCTGGGTGAAAAAGGTGAAGGAACTAAGTGATACAAATCAGCAGTTATAAAATAGTCCCGGGATGTAAAGTGTTGTGTAGGGAATATAGTCAATAATATGCTAATAACTATATATAGTGCCAGGTGTGTACTAGACTAGTCAGGGGCATCACTGCATAAATTACATAAATGTCTAACCACTATGGTGTTCACCTGAAACTCATATAAAATAATATTGAATGTCAACTGTAACTGAAAAAAAAATTGTTTTTTTAACGAAAAAAAAAAAGAATGAAGTGACAATCTATGCGGTAAGTGCTGGAGCTCGCACACAGCCCAGACAGCACAGTGCCAGGACCACTGTGGTCCAGAACTGCAAAAGTTAGAGGAGGTAGTTTTTTTGTGACTTCAAAAAAACTTAGCCAAAATTACACCAATGGTTCTACTGGCTGAGATAGACATTTAAGTGAGAAAACGCAGTAAAGTATTACAGTTACTGTGATAGAATTCTGTATGAAGCACGGGTGTAAGAGCAGTGGTCCAGGTGTCGGGTTCGTAGGACTTTTGCTGGAGTGATGTGATGTATGACGGAGCTTGTCTGGGTGGGCGCGGGAGGTAAGTTTATTTTCTGACATTTCAGATTGAGGTCCCTAGAGGTGCTCCAGGTGGAATTCTCTCTTAGGCTCGTAGGTTATTTGGGCCTAAATATGTGGGAGCCATTAGCATCAAAGTGGTTGCTGCAGCCACGAAAGTGGGTGAGATTGCCAGGGAGAAACGGGGACCAGGGACAAGGCCCCAAGCAAAACCAACATTTAAGAGGGTGGACTGAAAAAGAGAACCAAAAAGAACAGAAAAAGACAGGTCAGGGAAATGGCAGGGCTACCAAGAAAAAGATTCTTGGAGGCAGAAGGAAGGGACAATTTCAACAAGAAGTGCTCAGCTGAGTCAGATGCTGAGGAGAGGAGAGGGCCAGTGAGGTGACCTGGGGGCCGCTGGCCTTAGCCATCGGGAATTCCTTTACAGGGAGACTGAAGACTGAGGGACACCGTGTGCTTTTCATGTACTGGGAGAGATCTGAGTGTGCCTGCAGCTCTCGGGAATGAGCCAGTAGAGAAACAGATGAAAACAGAGAGTTAATAAACGATGGAGAAATGTACCTGAGAAGCTAAGGGGCTGCGTCAAGGTCAGGGGGAAAGGCTGAACTTGGAAGAGGGGACACCTTTTCCTTTGGTATTGGAGGAAGGGAAGAGAGGGTGGGTGCACACAGACAAGGGTTTACGTTTGAGGGTGCCAAGCACGAGGAAGTTCACTGAGGAAGTTCACTCCTGACAGCTTTGATGTTCTGGGCTTAACACTGGTTCTGAGTGCAGCTGCCAGCTGTTCAAGAGGACCTGGCACTGAGTACATACTAATGGCATCTCAGCTACTGGTGTATTTGTAGAATCCCAGGTGAAACTCCTGAAGAAGGTTCTCTAGAACAGTCTGGAAGTCTGGGCGCAGGAGCGGGGGTGGGGGTTACATTAATGACTTACTGTTGGGCACCAAAGAAAGTTTTGGGTGAGGCTTGTATTCCCAGAGAGAATTGTGAAAGACAGAAACCTGCGAGAGGCCAACAGTCTAGAACTGGATTCTAGAGCTGGTTCGTACATTCCACACATACTCGCCCCTCTGGAGGAGTACAGAATCCCGGCTGAATTTCTCTACACTGACAGTTTGGGCCTTCGCTGCTACAGTTTCCTACTGGCCACCCTGAGGAGGGCAGCTTTGAAACAGCTAAGGGCCGTCAGTTTTCCCTGCATTGCCCTGGAATAGCTGCGTAGGTTGGATATGTTCCAAAGGAATGGGACAGAGAGACTTTTGGTCAGGAAAATGATTAGAGGCTGCCCTTCTAAAGGTGAGTTTAGGCTCCAGGGTAACAATAAAACAGACATATAATCTAGGGGAGTTTTCTATTTGGCAAGTGAGACGTGACGTTGCTGACCTGTCAAATCTAATTCCTGTGTAATGCTTTGATGACAAAGAAAGTGAAATCTCCCACAAAGTACTTATTAGAATACTGAAAATTATTCTCGACTTTCCAGGACTTAGCTGGCATAGTTTCTTCAGTGTTTTTAGTTGGTAATTTGAGATTTACAGTCTTCTAACTCCTCCTAAAACATATCATGATAGTTTTCTCAGAAACCAGCTAAGGGGGTGAGTTGGGTATTCTGTTTATATGACTGGGGTTGGCTCTTTTATTTAAATATCTTGGCACAGGGTAAGTCCAGCAGGCCAGCTGACTGGGTGGCATCTGAGTGCTCGATACCTGGAATATTTTAGCCATCTGTTGTTTAAAAATTATACTTTAATGTTGTCCAGATATTATAAAGAACACTCTAAGGTAAAGTTTTTGCAATGTTTATAGATCTAAAATTCTATAACTGAAGAATCATATTTTGTTCTCCTAAATTTTCTTTTACTAATTAAGTTTGTGGAATATAGGACTAAAACCTGCCTTTCTATAGGACTATGTTGAAAGTGTTTTCTTTCTAGTTAAAAACAACCAAAATTATGGAATTATGGTATTCTTCTTCCACTTACTAAATATTCCCTCTACATCCGACACCCTTTCCCTGGTCTCTTGTCTTCTGTCTTTGTCACTACAACACTTGGGGACAGAAGTAGGTACTTACTCTAAGACCTTTACTCTCATGTCATAAGTAACTCAGTCATAATAGACATCATTTATATGTCTCCTTGAATGAGCCAAGAGTGTGCGAAATGCTTTCTATTAACTGTCCAATTTATTCTCACTAACAGCTCTGTGAGGCAGGTATCGTTATTACCGCCATCTTACTAATCGGGAAATCGAGACCCAGAGAGATTAGATAACCTGCCCAAGGTCACAGAGTTTAGTGGTGAACAAGGATTTGAGCCTTGGCATCTGATTCTAGCGCCCATGTTCTTAACCACTGTGCCATGAATGTTACTCTTCACACAACGTTACACCTGAAAGGGACTATAGTGATTATCTGGTCCAATAAACTTTTATAAAAGAGGATGCCGAGGTCCAACGATGTGAGGTGACTACTTCAAGAGCCCAAAGGTGAAACGTGATATAGTAGATGAGAATACAGTTCTTCTGATCCACAGATCACTGCTTTTGTCATGAATTTGCAGCCTCATCTAATATCTTCAACTAGAGGGTATGCGGTTCTGCAAATGTTTATACTCTGCAGTGAATTGCCGACATTTATATTTACCTGTTTCTGGGGCAGGGTGTGCCCCTCCTCCACCATCGCCCTTTGACTCAAAAATATAATTTTCCTCTTTTCTGTTCTTCCCTGAGGAACCGCTATCTGTGAAAAATAAGTAGAGCATACATTGAAGGTACCTCCGAAACTTTAGGAAACACATGAAAATGCAGCCTTCTTTATTGTTTTTAGGATGGACTTAAGGACTTACAGGATCTATTCTCTAATAAACATGGGTCTATGTTTGATACTAACACACTAGATAATTAATGCGGCAAATTTAATAAAGCAGAGTGTGTGGTTCTTACAAAACCACTGGACAGAGAAAGGGGAACGACACGCTGCCAGAACTCCCACCACACCCCAGAGAGGAGGGGAAGAACTCAGCTAGAAAGTCAAGGGGAATCTCTGGACTTCATACAGTGGAAAGCAGAAATAGTCCAGGAAGGTTTTTCTTCATTAAAACAAACAAACAAACAAACAAACAAACAAACAAACAAACAAAGAGCATACATGAGGCACACACACGTGCTATTTCACTTTCTCACCTTGACCCTGCTCCATTTATTTCCTGCCTAGTAATTTATAGCATTTGTTTGCTTATTGCACTGACAATATTATAATGAGTTACTAAGTTACCCTCGTGCTGTGGTGTGATTTCAAGTGAGACTTTTGGAAAATACAATGCTTAATGGCCACGAATTAGAAATGATCTGCTGAAAGGAGGAATTTAATGGAGAAACAAACAATTTAAAGCTCCTTTCTTCATAGGGAATATTTCATCAACAGAAATGTTCAGAACACCTGCAACTGAAATAAGACTATTTAAAGGGAGTATATAAAATTCTTTGGTAATTTGGACTAAGAAACATACATGAATTTACTAAAGATCACAAACCAACTGGATAATGGACGATTGTGAAGTGATTCCAGATTCCTACCAGAGCCAGAGCGCAACGATTGAAAACGATCATCGCAGTCATGCATTGCTGCTGCTCAGCAGAAGGGACTACAAACACATATACAGTAAAACCTTGGATTGTGAGTAACGTGGTTTGCAAGTGTTCTGCAAGACAAGCAAACATTTCTAATACATTTTTAACGTGGTAAACGAGCGATGTGTTGCAATACGAGTAGTTTATTTCCGGAACAAATTATGCTCGCAAACCAAGGTATTACTGTATTTGTGAAGGCGTCCTTAATCCTCCAAATGTCACCATGCCATGCGGACCCATGGCTGTGTCCTGACTGCCACAGCCTTAGGTCTCCATCACCGTTGGCTCGGGCTCTGCATGAGCCTGCTCCCTGGCCGGTCTGCTTTCAGACATTCCCGCTGGCGGGGGTCTGCAAAGGTTACTCGCCCCACTCATTCAGAGGATCAGGGCAGTGAGGTTGGCCCATGATTGCTTCTCTCGGCCAAGGCCACAGCAGGCTCACTACATTCTGCCGAGCCACGTCCGGTCACTCTAAAAGGTGCCGTGCACACCGGCCCACATAGAGCCAATAGTTTGGGCTTTTCGCTATAAACTCTGAGCCCAAAGCGAATGAAAGAGAGGAGTAAGGCCTAGGCAATTTCCTGTAGGCTAGAGACTCAAGCCGATTTCTGTTCTTGTCCACCACCACCTCCCTTCCAAAACAGTGAGGGGAGGGAAAGGAAGACGGGCAGCCAGTGTGAGACTAAATGAAGTCAGAGACCATCATGGGACCAAAGGGGAAAGAGACAGCCAGGTGACAGCTGTGTGACTGGCGTGGCTGCCAGGCAGAGGGGCTGCTCAGCCATGGAGGAAAGGGGGTCGTGGCCTAGAGCTGTGGAGACCTGTGTCCCAGCAGGATGGGGACAGGGAATACTGGATCTAAGTGATGGGGCTGGTGTAGCGCTGGGGCCATCGAGAACTCGGGCTCCGGTCCACACTGCGAGGTATTTCAACACCTTTGGATTTGCGTGAACCAATATATTAAATTCAAAATAATTTGGGGGCCAATTTAGGGTCGTCAATTTTTCTTATTGTGCCAAGTAAAGACATTAAAAGGAATGGCCAGTTACTAAGGCTATCACCTCCATTTCATTATAAAGTAAGAATATGTCTAAACCGCCAAATCATGAAGGATTTAATACATTAAAAGGACAGATCTTTAAATAGAAGAAATGTAACTTTATAAAAATAACTCACTACATTGTCCTTATTTTTCTTCTTTTGCCATGAGCGGATGAAAGCTTTCTGATGCATGGGCACTGAAGTCTGAGTTCTGTTATCCTCCTTTCTGACCCCGGCTGTCCACGCCGCCTCCGCCAGGCCCCCAGGCTCTCCATGTTGCCCTTCGTTCCCAAAAAGCTCTCTTCAATTTGGGCAGCTGGGATGCGTGGCTTACGTATTTTTACTCCCAATTCCATTTTGCTCATGCAATTATTTAAAATCCTTTTATTCTACTTACTGAATTATTTCCACCCATTCTTCAGAGCACAGCTGACTGTGCATGCCCATCCCAAAGCCAGGGCCTACCCGTCCGCTAGGCACAATGGGCACACAGCCCAGGGTCCACAGTACTGTTAGGGGCCCGCGAGAAGTTTTTTATTTAATTTCTTTTAAAATCACAAGGAAACAGTGAATATAACAATAACGAATATATAATAGTGATTCTAGCCCTGTATTATATTCATCTCTGTAACAATGCAGTCATAAAATATATTTAATTTTTTTAATGGAGAAAGGAGCCCATGAAAGTCATAATGCAGCCCTACAAGTAGCCAACCATGGTGACTCTAGTGCTCATGGGTTCTTCCTTCTGAGCTTCTAATACCCTAACAGGAAGTCCATACAAGCAGGTGTAAGGGGAGCTATAGTTGCTTCCTGTCTCTGTAGCTAAGGAAGAAGGTTCTTGAGCACACAGGGAGGCTTGCTGCATAAGCCATCATCCGGCTGGGGCTTGTACTAGACTGCTACATTAAATCCTGTTTTCATCACTTACAAGCTGTGTGACCTTGTCTAAGGTCTTAACCTCTCTGTGCCTCAGTGTCTTCATCTATAAAATGTCAGAACAAAACAAGACCATTATATAATTCACTTTTGCAAATAATTCCTTTCAGTAATCTTTTTTAAAAGAGTTAATGTCTTAAGAATGATTTTTTTCCCTTCTCTGAATGACCTGTTGTGCTATATTTACCGTGCATAGCGACCCATTCACAGAGGGAGTTGCAAGCTGGATGGGTATTTTAATTTCATTAAAATAATACGTGCCAATGCACGCCGAGCAGACACGGCCCACGGTGCCCTGTGTGGTCCCCACCGATGGACCTCAGTGGTCAGCGTGTGCGTTCACTTGAGTAACCAGATATTTGTACATACCCTTAATTTTAACCCTAGTGACATGCTTGGGACAAATTCCCAAAGCAGGATAACTGGGTTGAGGCACACAGTTTTCAGGCTTCAGAAACGGCCCTCTGGAACGTTGTATTCGTTTTAATCCCACTGAAAGCACGAGACTTGCTTCTCTGTCCTCTTATAAGTTTAATTATTACCCTTTTTCTCCTTTGCCAACGTGATAGATGAAAAACTGCTTTTCATTACTTCCTGTACTAATACTAATCTTAGTATCTCTTTAGCATGTCTTCAATGAGTGAAGATTTTTTTTATCCTCACCACATGTCTATGGGGAAAGGGAGGCTGCAGAAAGTTTAACTTGTTCATATTTATTGTATTAGCTGAGGACCCTTGTTAAAATGCATAGGTCATGGACAATAATGTATCTTTAAATCTATTTCTGCTATGCCGGGTATAACATCATTTCAACTCGCATGAAATCGGAAGCTGGGGATTCTAGTCTGGTGGCCTTAGGGATAACAGAGGGGATGGAGGAGAGAGCTGGGGTCTAAACAGAAGCCACATGCAGTGAGGGCCCTTTCTAATATCTTCAGAGACACTTTTTTTTTTTTTTTTAGCTGAGCCATCCTGCCACCTGTTGGTAGCTCAGCGGCAGCTCAGCTCAGGCCAGGAATCGAGCCGCTGTTGCTCAGAGCTCAAACTCTTGCGCGAGCTCTTAACCAACTGAGCCACTCGGCCAGCCCCCTTTCTAATATTTTCGAAGTCCTATTCTTCTCATCCACCTTCTCTACCCTGGATTTTCAAAACTTGTGTTTTTGATGTATATTTAATAACATAAACATGCTGCTAAGTAAGAAAGATAAAAGTTCTGTAAAAATAATATTACCCTAATTTTGTTAAAAGTGAACAAATATGTGTATGTATATAAATAAATGTAACCAGAAGAAAACGAAACAAAATGTTAATGGTGAATTTTGCTAGATGATTCCAATTTTCTTCTTTATATTTTTCTGCATTTTTCAAATTTTCTACAGTAACTACATATCATCACTTCCATAATTAGGAAAAAACAATATATACTATAAATAATAACTGGATCTCTAATCTCTCTGCATGTGCAAAACTCCAGTCCTTACTACATCTTCATAGCCCAAGTCATAGGCTTTTATCAAAAAGAAGAAAAATAGAGATTGCAAATACATTTCAAACTGGGTGCCAACTTCCATCGGCGGGCGGTGGCAGCCTGGAGCAATAATTATTTTGAAAATAATTCAAAAGGATTCTGAGGCCGAGCCTGACTCCCCAGGAGCCAGCGCTGGGGTCACTGAGCAGCATCTAGCACCAGTAAGGGCTGAGGGAACCCTACATGAACATCAGGCTATTGGTCACTCTTCAGACGGACTCTCAGTGCCAGATGGGGCCGCAGCGGTCATCTGGTTGAAATCCCGTATTAGCTGCTGAGGAAACTAAGGTCCAGAGAGATGAAGCGACTTGCTCAAGGTTCTCAAGGCAGAGCCAAGACTAGAACCTAATTAAGGAGACCTGGCCTTGGCTCTCCCCTCTGCCGACAGTGAATTCATTCATGAACATGAGAGCCTCTCTACCACAGGAGGTGGCGAGAGTTCACCCATCCTGGCCTCTGAGAACTCAGTTCTCTTCATCAGCTCTTCATCCCTTCTGCCCAAAACACCGGGTCTCCCCTGAGTCCTGTTTCTTAGGTGGCTGTCTTCCCATTTCAAGCCTTCCTTCCAAACAGAGAAAATGGACTCAAGTCCTATCAAGGCTGCAGTGACTGATTTGCCCTTTAGGTGGCAGCATTGACCAGGGATTAACCAGAAGCAGGCGCTCTGATGGGCTCCTAATCTAAACTGTCAAAACGCAAGGCCTTGTATGGAGTATTCTGCAAACGTATTAGTATAGAAGCACTTAAAATCTACAAGGTAGATAAACAAAATATTGGAAGGAAATATACCAAAACCCTAAAGGTTGTTTTCAATAAAGTGGTATTTTGAATCACTTCCTTTCTGTTTGTTTCTTCTGTATCTTCTGCAATGAACAAAAATTTTTCCTAAAGAAGTTATTTAAATAGTGACAGATTATTTCAGTTTAATGGATGCAGAGTTTGAGTACTAAAAAGACATTCACGAAAGCATACAGAATTGTGATAATCTATATTTCTGTCTCATATGTCACATAATCACACAAATATAAAGGTGTAAAAAGAAATTTTAAATGATACAATTCTGTAATGCTTCAGCAGTGTGAATGTATTTAAAAATCTTATTAGCCTTATTAAACAATTAAAAATTACAGATTTGGTTAAATTGGAGAAATAACACTGAATTACTAGAACATGCAACCATTTCTACATGACATGCTATTTTCTTTACATTTACTTGCTTAATATGAAGAGGATTCACATGAATATATAGGGGTTATGCTGCTTCATCTCAAAATAACCTAAAATGTAACACTTAGGGCATTAGCTTCCTTAACATAGGTATTAAAACTTTCTAATTTTAACTTATTTGCAAACAAATGTGTTGATACCTCTGGAGTGTGTAACTATGGGTGAATATATGATTGTATTTAGTAGGTGTTTCCTACTATAAATATTCAGTGCAAATGTCAGGTGCTTTTTTTTCCTTTTTGGACAAATTCTTCATTTTAACCGTCTTCTTTCTTGTAAAGTATTTCCTTTATGCTGGTCAAACAGAACGTTCATTTTGAGCCACCTGTCGTTATAGAAAATGAGACTCTTTGTGGAGAACCTGTCTCAAGTCCTTACCTGGCATCACAGGATCAATTTGAGTCTTTGGTGTCCAAAACGTGGAATGATTCCTCTTCTCCGTGTTTGATATTGCAGACGGCCAGTTTGGGGCAGTGGTTTTCTGGGACTTCTCAAACAGGACGCTCCCTGCTGCCTCTTGGCTGGGTCCTGTGGTTCTCGGCTGGGCAGGTGCTATGTGGGTCACCATTTTCCTCTCAAGGCTCACTGAAGCGTGAAAGAGCTACAGTTACTCATCAGGTTTCTTTTCTGCACTTTAACTAAAACCGCTCAATTTGTAGTAGATTTAAAGTCGTGGATGGTTTGGGCCTAGTAACCTATCTATCTGAAACATGTCAGAGACCCATGAAAAACTTCTCTCTCGTTTCCCAACAGCTAATCTTGTCTCTTCTTCCCATAACGAACTTTCTAAATGTCACACACAAATTGACAAAGACAATACTGAAACCTAAGGTTGTGAGAGTCTTCATCTGCTTCCTCCAAACAATACTCCACTAACGTTTCTGCGGCTTTTCTGCTTTCCTGGGGGACATGTTTATGTATACAGCATTACAAGACTGCTTTACAGATCTGACTTGGCCATGCCCTAGTGTATCATACACTTTCATACACTTTCTAAACAGTCAAAAGGAAACGTTAACTTGCTTCAGTTTTTTTTTTTAAAAAAGCACATGCTATCGAGTATTTTTTAGGATGGGGAGGAAGGTTTTAGAAAATTGAAAACAATGTCTTAAAAATGTAAGCAATATAGAATATTTGACTTTTGCAACTAGCATGATAAATGCTCTTTCATTTAAGGCATAGCTTGTTCACATAAAGTTGTACCAGAAACCAGGCAATATTGAGTTAGCACGTTATTATGGGAATACAGGCATCCCTTCTACCCCAAACGGCCATGCAGCCAACTCACAGTTTTGACAGAAGTCTTCATCAGACCCATCCGGACACTGCTCCACACCATTGCAAGCCAGGGTGATGTCAATGCAACAGCCATCGTCACAGAAGAAGTGGTGGCGAGAGCAGACTTTCAAGCATCCTGGTTATAAACAAGACTCAAGTCACAGGAGTGCAGGGAAGTTAAGACTTCCAGCCTATTGAGATGAACACAGACTAAATGTACGATGGAATGCATGTGGGCAAAGAGAGGCAGATAAGGAGGAAACACCTAGCAGTCTGAGCTGGAACCATAGGTTCTGGTAAGTTAGAGGGTCTCTTCTTGGTCCCCCTGTCCCCGCTCCTCCCTACCCCCTGACTTAATTCTCAGGAATCACCACGGGTTCTTCATCTAAGGGCCGTTCTCCAGAGCCAACATTGCCTAAGAGGTGGGAAGACAGAAGCCACCCCGGCCGTATCCATCCACACCTGGGTTTCCTCCCTCAGGTGTCTCACCGCATCAGCTCCTTCATCCCGTCATCTCCTCGGCAGGCCACCTAACACGGCTGTACCTCCTGCACGGCACTTGGGTGGCTGACTGTTTTCTTAGAGACACCATTTTGTACATGCTATGCCCTATGTTTTTGTTTTCTAAGTAATAATTTTTACTTAGAGATTAACTGTCTACTATTGAACCCTATGTGTTGACTACCGTACCTCTTGGGTGCTGTAAAGAATAAACAGAATCTTTAGATACTAGCTGGTTGAATTCATTTTCTTCGAATAATGAAATTGTCTCCCTTTTGGAGCTCTTGGGAGTTTTTAACCTGCATCCTATGAATATAGGAGGCAAATGTGTTTTCTTGAAAGGCATTCCCCCCACTCCCGATTAAGCCCACTTGACGAGACTTAGCTACATCACAACTGAGTGACTTTCTGACACTGGTCGTGCAGGTTCAAAGTACCAGGCTAGAAGTCGGTCGTAAGAAGCTGCATAATTTTCCAGGGGCAGGATGGACTGGACAAGGCTCTCAGGACCTGGGATGATGTCGTAAATGATGACATCCCCTGAGACCAATGGCTGAGCACAGTGTGCTTGCTCAAGCGAAACCCTGGCTACATATTCCATTGGGAAGCAGTTACATTAAAAGGCTGGGAAAGGAGTCCATCTGAGTGTGAGGCACTTCAGGGAGGAAGAAAATAAAGAACAGAAATGGTGGTTACATCTCGTGAGGAAGAAGGAGCAAAGAGTCTGCAGTGATGACTCAGAAGCTGGGCCTACAAAGGAAAATCACGTTTCAGGCACAGGGAAAGGGGGGTGGAGGGGAGTGCAGGGGACTCTGAACGCCCAGCAGGATGCGGCTACTGCTCCCATTCCTTAAATCCATGGTGGGAAAATCCCGAATACTTCAAGGTTTCACTTATTCCTCGGTAGTTTTGGAGATAGATCCACATTTATAATTCATCCATTGATTTCTGGGTGAGTGGTCTCCAAACTTTTTGACCATGCATCCTGATCAATAATGTACTGGTGGACACCCCTCTCCAATCTATAAGCAATAGGCATGTACCACTGTGTTAACATGTTGTACGTGTTACATTATATACTGAGAACTTAAAGATCAAAAGTTCCTAAAATGGAAGTCTTGGTTTCTTCTTTTCCATCCTCAAAATGTCTTGACTGTTTGTGGGGGGATCCTATTTGGGGACCACTGATGTAGGTCATATGGAAATATTTGTTGGCTTGAATACATTATTTTTCTCCAAACTTGAAATCATGCAGCCTCTGTATCCAAAACTGCGCCAAGTTGTTATCACATAAGCAGGGGTACATGCTTGTCTGTTTACCCCAGAAAGTGCAATCCCTGGTGACTGTTACAGCTGGGTCATTAACTACAAGATCAGTACTCACAATACAGGAGAGAGAAACGCCTCTTGATCACCACCTCTGGTTTTCAGTGTTTCCATGTGGTGCTTTTATTAACTTTAATTATAGTGTGTTACTCCAATCTAACCACTGAGTGACTCCAGAGACCAGCCATTAGTACCACAGCCATTCTTTTTTATTTTCTATATAAAGTTACATACCTTAGACCTATACCCAAGTGGCCTTTCAGTAATCAAAAGTGATTCACATAACTGTCTGCCACTTCAAGTACATTTTATTATCCTCTTGGAGAAAGGGCAGAGATGTACAACTAGCAATTTACCTTTGGAGCCCTGGAAAACTGGCTGAGCAAATAAGCCAGGACAAATAAGTGGCTGGTGAGGCGTCTCCTCCTGCCTCTATCAGCGCAGGCCCTTTCTCCCTCCCAGGCACCTTGGCTGTGCAACAGCAGTCGTTTTCTAATTTCTGTAGGGGATGACAGGGTTCCTCTGTCTTCTTTCCACGAGCACTTTTCTCCCAGAATCAGCACTTGACTTGGTCCCTGCCCAGGCCAGCCCTCAATCCCAGGAGGAGAGCAGCCCTCTGGGCCCAGCGGTCCCCTGCTGGGGAGTAACTGGCCGGAGCCAGAGCCGCGTTTCCAGTGGTCCTGATGCATGCCCAGCATACGAAGGCACTCAGCAGTGCTCTGAGCAACTGCCTGGCTCTCCTGCGCAGGTGCAGAAATCAACAGGCCCTGCTCGGATGGGGCTGGGCTGTCTGGCTCAGCTCTCACCATCACAGCCTCGCAGTGCTGCAGCGGCTGGAAGTTTGGTGTCCAGCCTGTCCATGTGCGGTCACCTCTCTGTCCTCACAGGACACTTAAGCCTTGGCTGGACAGAGTCAGCAACCCAAATTCTGAATGCTGCCTATGCTCTGATTCCCCGTGGAAGGCAGGTTCTCGAGGTTGCAAAGTCCTTGGGATTCTAAAATCTCCTTCCTGCACTTCTAATAATACTTACTGAGTTATGTCTTTGATGGAAGACAGGCTCAACAACACTACTAGTAAATCACAGCCATATTCCAATCTTTTTATCCTGATTCTTCCAACTGCTGGCTTAATCACCATCCAAATACTGAGTAATCAAGGATGTCAGAGACACGCTGCGAGTTTACTAGAGCCACGGCTCGTGGCAGTGAGGGTCCACTACGGGGACAGGGCCAAGTTGAGGGAGTGCCCCACTCCATGCCCAGCACAGCTTCTGTGCTCGGCAGACACTGAGAAGGTATCGTCCACTGGACGACAGGACCCTAAAATACACAGCATCTCAGTACTCCCCCCACAAGTTAACCGTGGGGTGTTTCCCTCTGCCATATGCCTGTACCTTTAGTGCTGCCAGGCTGCATATAATTTTTTTTTAAGTTGATGGGCTAATCTCAGAAATGTAGATGTTTGGGAAAGTAAGACACTTAGATAAATGAGATAAATACGTTTACACTGTGCAATAGAAGGTGACACGTAAAGTTCTATTATGAATGGACCTACGCATCTCTGTAAAGTGTCCGTGAAAAATTTTAAATAGTCCTTTTAAATTGACACATGCACTTCAAATATTTTAATTTGTCTTAAATGTACTTCTTGCCACACTCTTTAAACATACGTATCAAACAGACCAGCCACCTTTACACCAGATCCTCTCCTGGAAAAGCCCGATGACGGTCTTTTATGGAGTCGAGTCAAGGAGAGATGGAGTATCTATAGGGTCCCACAGCTCACCCAGTCTCATCCCCTCTAGTGCTTCCCCACCCCCATCCCGGAGTGTCGCTTAGCCCAAAGTATAACGGAGCCTATTCTTATCATATTTTTAGTAAAGACTCTCTCATTCAACCCCCTAAAATGAAATGGAAGGGCCCATGGAGTACATGGTTGGAATACAAAATGCCAATCCAACACCCTCTTTCCACAAACAGCCCGGTTTCTGCTGACCATTGTGAATGCGAGGAAAGAACTTTCTTCTCACCTCCCGGGGAGAAGGCCACGGGAAGCACTGTCACCGAGACGTTGTCGGAGCTTCTCTGCCCAGCAGTGTCCGTCACAGTGAGCTGGAAGGTGTACGTTCCTTCCTGCAAGTGGGACAGCTTCAGGGTTCCTGACTGAGGCACCTGACACCCAAACAGGAAACATCATGTTATTGGGGGTCGTGAGACATGGAGGCCAGCATCATCCTGAACTGGAAATCGGGGTCATCCCAGCAGCACTCCCACAACCCACCTCTCCACTCCGGGTCCAAAGCTGCAGAATTCTAAGTCATACACTATTTTGGCAGGTTGGCCCTACCTTGAATTCACTACTTCCGTTTTATCTGCGATGACACTATATCCTTGACTGACATGGCTTCCCTTGTCACCGGCAGCCATTGTCCCAAGCCTGTACCTCCTCCCAGCTCCACACCCAATAGCTAGTCCTTCCTTCTCAGCTGGTGACCTCATCTACTTCATAATTATGGCTCCGCCATTCTCCTTGTTCTGGGAATGCACCTGTATCTGTACCATTCTCCCGTTCTTTCCTCCAGCCTTTAGGTGAGCTGTCCGTCTTGCACTCCGGGCCAACCCCTCCATCTAGTCCTAGACCCTTTCTCTCTATGGCCTCCAGAACACCCACCCATCAACTCATTTCTCTTTCAAATGGCTCTGCTATTAAGTAGGCTCCAGTTTCTCTTGACCTAAAAAACAAACAAAACAACAACAAATAAAAAAACTCCCTAGGTCTTCTCCAGCCACAGCCTCATTTCCTTCCCATTTTAGCTCAGCGTCCCATACCGCATGTGCTGTTTTCATCTGCTCCTTTTCCATTTAGCATTTATCCCACCCATCTGGCTCCTTTCCCCACCATTCCCCAGAAGCTGTGCTAATAAAACTCACTCACTGACCTGGAAGGTCACCTAGTCATCAAGGTCAACAGTACTCATTCGTCTTATCTTTTTTTCTTTTCTTTAATTGGCTCTCTGACTGTATTTAACAAAGTTGGCCACTCCTGTCTTTGATCTCCTACCTCCCTGGCCTCTGATTTTGTGTCCCCTAACTGGCCCTTGCTGATCACCCTCCTGGGCATCTGCTTACTCCCTAAACCCAGGCTCCATCCTGACCTCTGCTCCCTCCCACCATTTGTGGCAGCTTCCTGATCCTGGAGAGAGCAACAGCCCCAGGTCTGCAGTGTGATTTTGGGAGTCAGTTTGGATGTTCAATCCGAAAGCTGTATTTTCAGCCCTCCCAATGATAATATGAACTGTTCAAGATCCTAGCTTTCAAAAGATGCTTTTCTGCTTAAATGAACTAGTCTGGCTATTATTCTCTACAAACAAAATTCTGGCCATTGCACATTGTATTACACTGAGGCATGAATTGACTTGAAAGTACGGAGAGTTGCCCTACTATAACTATTAACTGCTTGTTTTTATTTAAGCGATCCTAGAATTTAGACTCCTGCACATAACCTTGGCTTAGAGGGTTTGTCAGTACTGTGTAGACCCACGAGCAGAACGCTCCATATTTTGCAGCAATTTAATGAGATCCAGCGGGGGTCACACTTCAGGCCACTCAGTAATCACCCAGAGCTCCTGTTGAGTAAGGTCCAGATTTCCAGGCCCGGCCTCAGAGTCTGAGTCAGTGGGTGTGCAGAGTGGGATCCGGGGATCCACATAACCAGCACACCCAGGTGACCCACTGATCACACTGGAAGACACGCAGGTGATGTCGTTTAGAGCACGAAGTCTGGTGTCTAGCAGACCTGGGTTTGAACACCAGCCCTACTGCAGACCAGCTGTGTGACCCTGTACAAGCCACGTAACCTATCAAAGCCTCAGCTTCTTCATCTGTAAAATGGGAGCAATACCAGCACCTTCCTTAGGAGGATCAAACGAGATAACCATGTACAAAGAGCTTAATATAGGGCTTAAGTATAACTTACAAAATTAAGTTTTGTTTTTCAAATATAAAAGTAGCTAAATATGGTAAATGCTGACATGTATCCACTATCTCCACTGGTTGATTCTCATCGCAACATGAAGACATCACCCTGTTTTCATAGACAGCGAAGTGAAACCCCGGTAAAGTGACTGTCATTCACTGAGGCTGTGACAGAATTGAGACCTCCAGTTGTAAACCAGTCTTCAAGCTGTACCAGCACTTGCATTGCAAAAGCTTGAAGCTAGAGAGCTGCCCAGAAGGCCACCTGTCCCTTGTTGTTTATTTCAAAGAGATGCTAAGCAGTGTTCACCGTCACACTGTTATATTATCTTCAGGCCCAACTACACAGAGAGGATATCAAACCGCGGTCACTTATGTGAGAACTAAAATACTACCTGAGGGGCCAGCAGAGACAAAGGTGAGGACAAGAAGACAATTTTAAAAGAGTGTGGAGCAGGCACGTGGTCCTCAGAATTCAGGACAGACTGAGCTGAAAGTAGAAGTCAGTCTGAGAACAGTCAGAAAAGATCAGAGATGCGGATGAATGAGATTTAAAACAGGACAAGAACTGGGGTTTGGGACCTCAGGGCCCTAGTTAACCTCTCTTTTCTTTCACAGTCCACATCCCAACCATCAGGAAAAACTGTTGGCTCTACTTTAAAAACACACCCAGTCACATGTCTTGTTAGCGAGGCCACTTCATGGATGGTGTAGAGGCTTGATCACTGCACTGTACACCCGAAGCTGTCAGTGAATAACATTGTATGTCAACTATAATTATATATACATATAGTCTCGGGACATGGAGTAGAGTGTGGGGAGTGGAGTCAATGGAATTTTAATTGATATGTATGATATGGGGTGGGGGGTGGGGCAGTGGGTTGGGGGAGGGGGTTGTCACTTTGTGAGGGGTAAAAAATATAACTATTGCACTGTTTTATACACCTGAAGCTAATAAAAAGAAAGAAAGAAAGAAAAAAAAACCCCACCCAGAATCTGAGCGCCTCTCATTACATCCACTGGAACCACCCCAGTCGGAGCACATGCTGTCTCTCCTGAGTCACTAGAGTGGCCAGGAGGCCCGAGCAGCAGCGGGACTGGGGCCTGGAACCCCTGCCTCCTGGAAACTCCCTCTCACCACTGTCCACATGGTTGCAGGGGAAAGGTCAGTTATGACCTCTGCCTCTGGCCACCAAGGTGCCAGGCTGACCCAAGGGGGGACAATGACAGTGCAAGGGGCAGGTTGTAGAGCACGGATCTGCCTAAGTCCGGGTGGCAGGACAGCTCTCTCTCCCCAACTCTGGCTCAGAACCAGGCAGGCCTTGCTGGGTGGCAGTAACCCAATAGGTTACACAACTATGTACTGCTTCTTGGGACTCACGCAGAAACACAGGGAGCCTGGTAGTGACGATAACTCCCCTGGAATGTGCTAACGTGAGCCCTGCAGCCTTGAGCTCCCTCTGTCCACACTCGTCTGCCTGAGTGCAGACAAGGAGACCTGAGCCACCAAAGGCCAGCAGCTGTGGGATTTGCTGCCCGGGTATAAGAGAAGAGTTGGGGTTTGTGAGGTTGGTGCGACAGAGGGACACTGTGTGTGGCCATCAGAGTGAGGTGGAGATAAAGTTAGTGACGACTTGAAGAGACTAGGGGAACTAGGAGGTCAGCTGGGCGAGCCATCCACACGGACACTGGCCTCCTTCAGGCTGTGCCCCGGCTCTCTGCCAACAGAGTGAGTCACTGGGCCTCTGCTGTAACACTTACACGCCACTTTCAAAGCTTCTTTCCAACCCTGGGGCTGGAAGGACGGAGCATCCGCCGTCCCTGGGCTTGCGGCCTCCCTCTGCCTTCCTCTCCACTCCCCTCCAATGCGGAAAACACCAGGTCCGGACCCAGCCATGGTATCGCCTTCGACATGCCGGGTGCACTCAAACTTAGATCTGTTCGCATTAACTATCCCTTCCCTGGCTCTTATCATTGATTTAGGGGCAAAGCCTGCCTCTCCTCAAAATCAGCTATTTAGAATATATAAAACTGTAAGACGGACGTTTTCCCTTTAAGCACCCAGATCCTCCCAGTCATCTCCTCACCTTTATATGACACTAGAAAGGATTTTAAAGTATTTTATAAACATTTCTGAAGTGTCAGGAGTCAGAATACACACACACACTCTCACACACACACACCCCCCACACACAAGTACATAAAACATAACCGATTTGTAACTTGGAAATACATTTAATAAAAATAAAACAAGGAGCTTCTAATCTCTGCCCAAGATCTCTTGTTCAGCAGTAACAGAGCCTTAATGGTTCAGAAGTAACAGAGCTTCTTGCAAACCAACCTATATGAGTCAGCCTGTTGTTCTAACTCGACTCTATCTTCCTAGATAGTAATCTAGTGGCAAGGATTTTATATACACTGAGTTAACACACACACACCTACACATGTATACACACACTATCATTATATATACTTAGTTACAAAATACATAATACCTAACAATTCCCTCCACCCCAACAGTTGCTTCTAAAATGCATAAGACAATTGGGTGTAAGTCAGTTACAAAGTAGTGATGTGGTATAAAATATACAGGAGGAGAAGCCACTGAAACCACAAATACAAAAGTATACTAGCTTTTCGCCTCCTTGTAGGCTAATCCAATTTACAAAGCTGGCCAAGATCTTTATTAGTGGTTTAAAGTACATAATAACCATTGTTATAATCCAATGCCTTCTACCCACACATATTGCGAAGGAGACAAATGAGGCCATTATCCTGATAACCAGAGGCCAGGAAATAAACTGGTTCCACAATTATCTAGAGGCAGCACAACACACGCTTAGGCCCTGTTCTTCAATTAAGGGTTACTTTTCCTATTTACTTTTCATCACAGATATGACTTCGAGTTCCACAAAGAGAAGCAAAATGAACCCCTCAGCCTGCCTTTTCCTGTTATACATGCTCAAATGAAGGGAATTAGAACGTCTTTACAAAGAATAGAACTCTGACGGGCCCATCTTTCTCAACTCTGGAAGAAAGCAATTTTAAGAGTTTCTTCAAGAATTTGGAATTTCTTTTATAATCCTGCTTAGAAGAGGATCATTTTCAAAAGAATAGGACCAAGGCAGGTAGTAATTAAAACAGAATTAAATTGCTTCTCTTGAGATTTTAGGAATCAAAGGGAGAAGTATTTTTGGACTGGGGCCTTTCTCTTACT